GGTTAATGAATACGGTTTTGACTTCCACCCACCTTGGCAGCCTGCTGGGAAAAAATGAATCTCCTTCAGTCTTGTTAAGCAAGCAGCCATTCTAGAACTGATAAGGATGACATGTGATAGATGCCTGCCTGCTTCCTCTTATCTCTCCCGACTCTTTGAAAAGTTCCTTGGGCAAAAAGAAAGAAAGAAAGAAATAGGGAGGAAAAAATTTACCAAGGTATTGGGGGAGTAAGGTTCCCCCCCCCCTGTTAGATGAAAGCAAGGCAAGGGGTTGAATATTCTTTCAGAGTCCTGTCTGGCCTGGTCCTATCTTGTTTGGACCATTGGTGCCACTGGTTTGGAGTTAGTAGTGGATATAGTGATGACCCTGTGCACAGGTGGCTTTAAAGGTGGGTTAGAGAGATTCACGGAGGAGTGGTCTGTCAATAACTACTAGCCATAGTGACTAATGAGAACCTCCATATTCAGAGGTTTCAGTGCTAGCAGGTAACAGCCGTAGAAGGCCTTAGCCTCCAAACAGAAGAGAGCAATGAGGGCCCCGGTCACACAGGAGGATTTGCCCCGCAAGAGGGACAGATCGGGGGCGCATCAAGCACACCGCAACATCTGGGAAGCATCACGCACCCATCCCCGATCCGTCCCTTCGGCCCGAAAATGCACATTTAAAAGGTACTAGCAACAGAGCACTACCTTCCGGATGATGTGCGGCAACTCCAGGCGTCTGGTCGGGGAAGCGCTGGTAGCCCGTCGCAGCCAGCGCCGTTCCCCATCCCACGCATGCGCACAACTGTGCTACTGCCGGTTTGCTGCACAACATTTGATCAGCTGCCAGAGCATAGAGCCGTGGGGGCACGTCAGATTGCACTCCCGCGGTTCTTTTTGCTCCGGCTCTAATTTGCCTCCTTTTGGCAGTGGATCATCCCGCTCGTTTGACCGGGATCAAGGATGATCAGGGGCCTGGGGACCAAGCCCTACGAGAAAAGTAGGGTTGCCAAGTCTGGCCCACAAGCCGGCGGTGGA